AAAAAAATGAGGAACATTTGTAATAATATGAAAAATAAAAGATTTATTAAAAAAACAACAATAATGGTTTCTGAAGATTCTCCCATGTTAAAGCATCATTATTAATTGCATAATTTATTTGACTCCATGTTAGGATTTTTTGTGTCTGCATTTGTTGTATATGCAGTTAAGAAATATAGATGTAAAGTAAAGCACATGAAATACTTTATGATCAATCTCAGTCAGTTCTCAGGACTTGAAACCCACTCAGAGTATCTGTCTCCTTGCACTTTCCCAGAGTCAATTTTCTGTCTAACCTCCTTGGAAACTGTAACTTTATTCTCATAATGATTGGTTTGGTCATTTATGCCATAATTTCTGTTATTACTTTTTCCATTTGTCTAGAGATGTAGGTTGTACATTGATCTTGGTTTTCTTGAATGTAAGTTACAGGTTTACCACTTGAGACTTGGGGGGGAAAAATCAAGCTTCTTTAAATATATCCACACTGCTTGGGTGTTTTATGATTCATTCACCATTGCTTCCAGTTGATATTTATCCAATTCAGCGAAACCATTCTCTTAGCCTTGCTGAGTTCAATTTTGGATTCATTGATATTATCAACTGGGAGAGATGCTGGGAGAGTTGATTGTGAATGTAGTGCTTTATCTGCATGGAATTGCACCAGGCCTTCTGAAGAGTGCGATTTCTGAAAATTGTATGTGGGTATTTGGTTGATTGAGGCAAGTCAATAATATCACAAATAAGAAAAAATACAGCATGAGATATGAGAAGGCATTATGACTGCAATCCTTGTCAGTTATATTTATTATTACTGTGAACTTCACTGGTGTATTTTGAGATAAGTTCGCAGGCCTGTACTAGATGTCTCAATAATATAATGAGGAAACAATTTTAAGTTAAGGCGGGGTGGCTGATTACATTAGGGCAGGAGCCTGGCTGTTACTCCAGCTCCAGCTATATCAGTACTTCCTCTCTCATTAGTTCTTTATTATGTTCTCTCTTGAATGATCCTGTTGTAAGCTAACTGTTGTTGGGGACAGTTTGGGCTGTGTGGCAGCTAAACTAGTCTGGTGGTGGGCAGCAGACTAAATTGTGGGAAGGTGAACGTTGTGCTTTTGCAAACCATTATCTTTCACAAAACTCTGTGTCTAGTGTTGACATGTCTTTTAAATTATAATCTTCTACTTCCAAATGCATTCTGTGCTCCTATGCATGGAAAAATGCCATCACAAACTCAACATAACTCACTATATTCTTCCCTCAATCAACTTTTCCTTGATTTCCTATAAACAATATAATACTTTTTATACATACTGAGGATTAAAACTTGTCAATATGACTTATTCTTTTTCAATCACCATATATAATCTATTGAAAGTCCTAAAAATTGTCTTACAATGTTTATCCCATTGTATGGTTCACATTTCCCCTGCTCTCCTTTTATTTCAAGCCCTAAATACTTCTCACATGGACCCTTTCAATAGTTAGATGAGGAATATCAACCCTCACTTGCCTATTCCCCTTCCAACTCATAATATATAAATAGGCAGATTAGTCTTTACTAAAATATGGCTATCACTCCCTTGTTCTAAAACATTTTATGACACAATTTCCCACCAAATTAAGTGTTAGTTTCCTGATCTTGCATTTTAGATGTCAAAAATAAAAATGCAACACATCCATTTAGTTATATAATGCATTTCTCCCCTATATAAATCTTGTATTTCAGCTAAAAAAGACACTTTAAAAATATTTTTTATTGATTTTGTAGAGGAAGAGAGAGAGAGAGAGAGAGAGAGAGAGAGAGAGAGAGAGAGAGAGAGGGAAACATCAGTGTTGAAAACCACTGATTGGCTGCCACCTGCTTGCCCACCTGCTGGGGATTGAATCTACAACCTGGGCTTATATGTCCTTGATTAGAATCCATCCTGGGACCCTTTAGTCCGCAGACCAACGCTCTACCCACTGAGCCAAATGAGCTAGGTCTACAAGAGACACTTTGGAGTGTCTGGGACAATGATTATGTGGGAACAAAAGGAGATGTGAGGAAATAGAGGCAATGGCTAGAGTTAGAGTATAATTAAGTTCATGTATATCACATGATCACATTTTTATTCTCATTTACTAAGTATAAGGAAATATGTGCTAGTATGTACTACGTGATAAGAGCATGTAAAGGAATATAAGAATATAAGATGGATCCTCTGCCTATGAAAAATTTATATTTTAATGATAATTAGATCACATGAAGCATTAAATAATAAAATATTTAAATTTATAAGAAGAGATTTCCTAATGCAAAACATAATTGGTTGATGGATTTTTCAATTTTTATAATATTACAGGACATAGAGATCAGTTTAGATTGAATTAGCTTTAGAGAATAGATGGGAGTAGTTATCTGGTCTTGAAAGATACAGAGTAGTGACCAGGACCTGTCCGGTGGAGGAGGATCCAAGTGAGGTATTATTAGAAAAGATATTGTACTATCTTTGTCGGATAAATTTGGTAGTAAACTTACAAATCTTATGACATCTATGAATTGTTTCCCATCCTCTTGGAAGTGGTGTCATTGTGCAGTGCATAATCTGTACAGGCAAATACAGCAGCTGTGGAAACAGCAGTGAATAAGATACTCAAGGATTCTGCTCTCTCTGGGCTTATCTTCTGCCAAGAAGAAGAGAGTTTTTGCCAGCACAATGAACTTATAGGGCTCATAGAGTGCATTCCTAAAATCATCTTTATTTTTGTCTCCTGCAGTCTCTTTACATCTACTTAGTGGAAATGATCCTTCCCCTAACTTCTGCCTGAACACTGTGGCAGTCCTATGACCTTTCTTGCCATTCTCAGGTAATAAACTGTTTTAGTCATTGGAATCTCAGTTTGACTTACATCTTCTTCCCTTCCCTGTATGAAAGCCTGTGGTCTGAGAAAGAGTGTGGTTATTGACCCTCTCTTTCATTGTTTAGCTGCCGTTCTGACTCTCCAATTGTGGAGCATAACAATGGAGGGAAGGAAATGGGGTCAGATAATCCTTACTTGATTGATGCTGTTACTACACAGCTTCTCTTTGCCTGCGGCCCATTTCTCACACATCCTTTCTGCTAACAAACTCTGGGAGTTTGGACTGATCCTAACATGGGCACCTGTGCATTAGAGCAGCCAGCAGCACCGTCTCTGATCTATTAGTTTCTCAGATGTGAGTCAGACTCAGTCCACCCTACACTCAAAATCCAAGGGTAACATAGCAAGCTCCAACAGGTCCACTTTGAATCTCATGTCCTAGACTTGGGGTTTGGGAAACGGCATTCCTCCACACATGTACTTTTCTACCTGGGGGACCAGGAGAAAGGGTAATCAAAGCTTAGTTCTCAACAAAGTAATCCTCATAAAAACCTTCTTTTTCTATTCTTTCATCTCTTTATTTAGTTAATATTAATTTATCATCAAATCCCTTACTACTCAAAATGTGGTCCATGACCCAGGAGTATTAATATAACCTTGGAAATTATTAGAAATGTAGATCTTGTGCCCAGCCCAGATCTGCTTAATCAGAATTTGCATTTTAACAAGATTCCCAGGCAATTTATGTGCACATTCAAGTTTGAGGAGCACTGATCCAATGTATTTTAGCTTCTTACTTTAAAGTTTCTACTGGTAATCTACCTCATACGTCAGGTTGATATCTAATATCTTATTTTGGTACCTCAATGGACATTTACAATTTGGATCTTGTTACATAGAAAATAAGCAAAAAGAAAAAAAAATTAAAAACAATCAGTTCATGATATTTTGTATGAAGAACATGTAAAAGGGTAATTGTTATGGGTTAAATTGTGACCTCATATCCCCAACTCATATTTTGAAATTCTATTTCCACTACCTCAGAATGTAAACTTATTTGAAAATAGGATCATTGCCGATGTAATCAAATAGGCTAAGATGAGCTCATTCTGGAGTAGAATGAGGCCCTGTTCCAAAATGACTGGTGTCCTTATGATAAGAGTAAGAGTTGGACAAAGAAATGCACACAAGGAGTATATCATGTGGGGATGAAGGTAGAGATTGGATGCCAAAGTTTGCTAATAAACTTCCAGAAACTGGGAAAGGGATTATGAAACAGATTCTTTTCACAGCCTTTAGAAGGAACCAACGCTGATGGCACCTTGATCTCAGACTTCCAGCCTCTAAAACTGCAAGACAATAAGTTTCTGTTGTTTAAGCCACCCATTTTGAGATAACTTGTCTTGTGAGTTAGATTTGGGAGGGGGAGCACAGGACATTATCACAATTTACAGAGGAAGGTCAAGAAACATGGAGAAGTTAAATCAAGTGTCACCCACAAGAGCAGGAGAAACAGGAGTGGAACCTGCTTCTTCTTACCCCCAATTGCTCATACTAGTATTTTCTAGTAATTCATGTGCAGCCTCCTCTAGGACCTTTGTAGGCAGTGAATGCCTATTTGTCGATGTGACAACATCAAAATAGTGTCCTGCTTTGGAAAATGTAAAGTGAAGGGAAAAGGGCAGTTTCTGGTAAATGGAAGTAATTCTCAGCAGGCTGAATTTTTACCCAGTTAGCGTGAAGGAATTTTGCTCATGTAATGAGAATGAAAACATATTGAAACAAATAACCCAAGTTTTCCATTATAGTTCTAGAAGAGGGGCATTTTGCTCCTTATTTGTATTCTATGCTTAATGGTTCCTTTCTGTTGTGCTGGAGATGAAAGTGTTCTGTGGTCCTACTCTAACAGCTGTCCATTAATTTGCAAACAGGCTGGAGGAGTGACTGTGTGGTGTATAGACTGCAGGCTGGGGAGATCTGGGGCATTGGTGGGAAACCCAGGAACATGGCAGCAAAAGTGTGAGACAGGTGAACTTTCTCTTCTCTTGGTATCTTATGCCTTTAAAAAGAAAATTAGTTTTTAATGATTGCCATGCATATTCACATTGAGTTCTCACAACACAACTTAATGTAAATATTTATTTATTTATTTATTTTGAATTTTGAGAGTTTTCATTTGAAGGTAAATCTTAATGTCATCAGAGTCACAAATATGCTAATTTAAATACCCAATTCTATTTATCTAAAACACACATTGCAAACATACAAATATCTATTCTCTCCACATATCGGAGCCCATTCATTTCATGTTTGGAAATGGAGAGAATAGATTCCCCTTAAATTGCAAGTCAGTAGGTGTTTCTTTACAGTTAACTTTAGCAAAATTCATACAAAATAGCGATTAACAATGATCTTCTTTACTTGTTAACTCACAAGGAAACACCTTCAAAACTGCATTTTGTTAAAGTTTCTGTACTAAAATGTAGAAAAACTGAACTACACAAATATTGAAAAGTTAAAAATTCCTTAATTTTTTATTCCTGGCACCACTACCACAATTTACAGGGCAATATACCTGATGTAATGAAAAGAAAAAGAAAAAGACAAAGCTACAATAGATAAAAGACCTCAGGAATGTACATCTAATTGACACTACATTGCATTCATCAATAGCTGCACTTTTTGCAAACTGTGGCTATGACAGTCCTGAACAAGAAGGGTTTCCTGTTTAAGCTGCAGTAACTTTTCTGACTATGGATCATCGTTCCTCCTGTGGCAGATTTTTACAGTCCCTCTAATGCATTTGGGACGACTGTCTCAAAGTAACCTGCAGCTTTCCTGACAACTCCTTGCTCTCTCTCCTGCTAAGGACTGGAGTCCTTTTCTGCTGAGTTTTTAGAACCTTCTGCTACCATATCCACCACTTCCACCACCAGATCCATAACCACCACCATAGGGGCTGCCTGAGCTTCTTCCACCAAAACTACCCCCCTTCATGGGCCCATAATTTGATTGCTTTGTCCACTGTAATTTCCAAAATCATTATAGTTTCCACCTCCACCATAGTTACCACCAAAATTTCCCCCTTCATTGTAACCATCGTATCCTCCACCACCACCACCATATCCACCACCTTGGTTTCCATATCCTGGTCCACCACCACCACCATAGCCTCCTCTACTACTATAACCAGGACCACCGCCATAGTTGCCACCATCACCTCCAAATCCATTATATCCACCATCACCTCCTCCATAACTACCTCTGCTGCCACCTCCACCACAGTAGCCTCCTCTTCCACCAAAGTTTCCACCACGGCCAAAGTTACCTCCACCACCTCCAAAGTTTCCTTCCCGACCCATGGAATTGCTAGATCCACCTCCACAGCCTCTTTGTGATCCAGCAGACTGCATTTCTTGTTTGGAAATGGCCTTTTTCACTTCACAATTATGCCCATTAATAGTGTGGTATTTCTGAACAACAATTTTATCAACTGTATCATGATCATCAAAAGTTACAAAAGCAAATCCTCTTTTTTTCCCCCCACTCTGCCTGTCCTCCATAACTTCTATGGTTTCAATCTTGCCATACTTTTCAAAGTAGTCTCTCAAATTATATTCTTCTGTATCTGCTTTAATACCACCAACAAAAATTTTCTTCACTGTTAGATGAACACCAGGTTTTTACAGAATCCTCTCTAGAAACAGCTCTCTTTGGTTCCACTACCCGTCCATCAACCTTGTGTGGTCGAGCATGCATTGCTGTATCCACCTCTTCAACACGAGAGAAAGTCACAAAACCAAAGCCCAGAGAACGTTTTGTTTGGGGGTCTCTCATCACCACACAGTCTGCGAGTGTGCCCCATTTCTCAAAATGTTCTCTTAAACTGTCATCTGTAGTTTCAAAGCTCAGACCACCAATAAACAGTTTTCTCAACTGCTCTGGTTCCTTAGGATCATGGCGCTCCTCCCCCCGGCGGCGACAACGGCTGGAGTTGGGCTGGGGGCGACTGGGCGGCGGTTTTACCTCCATTTTGAGACCAGTCTCGCCTCTTCCAACTCGAGTTCAATCTTAATGTAAATATTTTAACCTCTAGTTTCCTAAATAGGCCCTTGGGACTCAGAGGTTAAGTCACTTAGTTTATGGGAGCTTGTGGACTCTTTGAGCCAGCTATCTGGATTCAGATCCCAGTTTCATCCCTCACAAAGCTCTGGGACTTTGTGCAATTGTTTAAATTTTTGGTAACTATTAGTTTTTATCTCTTAGAGTTGTTGAGAGGATTAAATGGATCACCATGTGAGTGTTTAGAACATCACCCAATATATGAGGATAGTGTAGGAGGAGCATGAACCCCAGCCAGTTTCAAGACCAGTGTTCTTTTAGCTGTGCACAAGCTATTTCTCTGTGTCCAACTGCGCTTGTGACACTTGACCATTCTTCAGATCTTCCTCTCCTTTCTTTCCCACTTACCTTCTCTGAACTTCAGTTCTTCAGGAACTGCCAGGTATTTGGATCACTTAACCTGATACATTTCTGCAGACTGAGGTGCAGACCTGGAGAGGTTGTCTTATAGAGCAGAGGTTGGACAGTCACTGTAGAGGAAGTGGAATGGAGGATACACAAGTTGGAGAACGGTTGACTTTACTTCTATGCAAAGGGAAGACCAATATGGGACGTGCAGCCATTACTGCGGACTCTGGAAAAACAGATCTCTGTGCCATTAGGCCATTGCTTACAATCTGGCAATTGGTTAGAGAGCTTTTCTTGTGTGTGGGCAGACAGCTTGGGGTGGAGTAAGGGGTGATGGGGTGGCAGCAAGTCATCTGAATAAAAGCTAGTCACTTCATGAATCTTTGTAGAAATTGATTTACTGTTTCCATTGTCTTTTGTTATTTTAACCATTCAAGATTTCCTTTTGTAGATTTACATTTTTGGGGGGTGGTTTTCTCAAGCCAAACGGATTATTTATTTTAAAATTTATGTCCATTTATTTCTCAGGAGCAGATACTTTAATTGTGGCTCACCAAGTAAACAATTTCTTGTTCAAAAGGTTGTTTCTGCCTAAACCTTACCAGGCTAGAGAAAGTTTTGAATGCAAATCCAACCTGACCTCTGAATGGTGCAAAGAGAGTGCACTTGACAAAAAACAATGTTGGCAGAAATCAGAAAAGAAGCAAACTGACCTCATACCTCCTGCTAAAAACTTCACCAGGGATGGGAGTGGGCTCACAGATCTTTTAAGGGAACAAAGTGTGTGCGTGCGCACATGCATGCGTATGCTTTATTTCTGTTGACAGATGGGTCTTACCAAACTTGGAAGAAATGTAGGCAGTAAATCAGTTTTCCCATTTCATGACAGTCTTTATCATGAAAGATGATTCTAAATGTAAACACAGTGGGTAAAATGCCACTTAGAGGGAATTTAATAAACATACTAATTTAGACCTCAGCAAGAGAGCACCTAAATATCAAACATAATGATATACCACAAATCAAATATTCAGGATATCTATTTTAATCTAAGAGGAAACAGAACTCTTTATTCTAATCTTGCTGTAAAGCCTTTGGCTTCCTAAAGTATGTGATCTTGTTAAATTAAAGGATTAGAGTGAATGCATCCTTACTTTGGTATGTACTTACAACTAAATAAATAACATGCTTGTTATGACTGCAAACAAAATGAATTAAGTGAAACAAGACAGACAGCATGGACTTGCTGATGTCTTTGTTTTTGACAGCCTCTAATCCTGGAAACAGGAAGATATCGAGATGAATAAACATTCCTTGCCTATGTGAGCTCCCAAGTGGCTAAGTCTATGCCCAGATTCGTGCTAAGAAGTTCCGAAACCGAAGCATCTGGAGACCTTGCATATGCATAAAGGAAATCTCTCCCTTCCATTGTCTTTTCTGTTTCCTGCTTATCTGAAAACCCATTAATGCTCTAGCATTTTGGGCCCCTAAATAGAGTAAGGGTAGGGGGGAGGGTAGAGAAGACAAATACCTCATTAGACACCTTTGAAGACTTGTTCCTCCTTGAACAGCTGTCCCAGTTTAGTCTCTATTAGCTGTCACAGAACCTTTCACAAAAAGGTGCTTTCAGTGAAACTTCATTCCCAACAGCATTTAACCCAAGGCTCACATATGTGTCTCCTTTCTTCATGGAATGCTGTCCTAAACCAAATATGCTAGCAGTTAAACAGCCCACGAACACACCACAAATATTTGTTTATTGGGAATAAAAATGTGGAGTGGGCTGCAAAACTGGGGGCTGGATTATTAAGACCAGATTGGAAAGGTCTGTGGCAGTGCTTGGGTAAATATTGCTAGTGGTACAATATTGAAAAGATTGGGAAGTCATCAACCAGCCCTTCAGAACTGAAACACATGATTTAACCACAAGCTATACTTTATGAAATCTTAAACTGTAACATGAAGAGTGGCCTAATTTAATCCATGTGGGCTACATGTTTGATGTCAACAGACTTTTCTTTTTAAACCAGTCGGAGAATGCAACAGGGTCTTTAGTCCTTAATAAAATCCGGGCTGTTTTCTGCAAAGTCACTTATCTTGAGGGATTAATTATTTTCACATTATGATTGATATTCCATGGATTTCATGGGTTTTCCTGAGTCTCTTTGAACGTATCCATTTTGCTCGGGACAATTAACCATACGTCTTCAAATGTTAGTCTCTCACAGGTGTAATGGGGATGTGGAAGATTCTAAAGCAGACAAGTGCTTCTCTCTCCCTGAGAGGCTTGTAAGAGACGAATGAAGACAACAGTTGCTGTTATAAGTCATACATGTGATACTTGCTTCATACAGAGGCTGCCTGTGGACGTGACAGATGAGCACATATAGAAAAGTGCCTCCTAAGCAGCTGTTCTTGAAAGAGCTTGAGACATGAGTTGGGGTGGAGCTTCCCCATAGATTAGGTCCATGACACTTTTTTTTTTTTTTTTTTTTTTGTCAATAGAATGAGATTATCGCAACTTGACTATAAACTGTTTTTTCTACCAGATGGACAACTAGTTAAGCATTCACTTCTTTTTAAATATTATGACCATTAATTGAAAATAACAGATGGGTACTTTTTATAAGTGTGCCTTTTAAAAGACTCAGTGTGACTAAAATTTCTGAGATGATAGTTTCAATCTAGACTGGAATAGTTGAAAGTGACACAGTGTTTGCATTCAAGTAATCCTAAGGACTGCTAGGTTGATAAAAGCAGGAATAACATAGTTAGATTTTTTTTTAAATTAAAGATAAGGCAAGAAGAACTCAGTCTTATATCCCATCTCTATCCATGCTGAATTCTTTAAAACAGTTTGTTTTAAGTATCTTTCCAGAAGTTATTTTATTTTTCATTTTTTTCTTCTCTCCTTCTCTCCCCCTCTCTTACTCTTCCTTCTCTACATCCTCCTTCTCCTTCTCTCTTTCAATTTGTGAGGAGAATATATAATATGTTAGTATACATATTTTTTTATCCGAACCACTTGAGAGCAAGTTGCCTATATCACTGCCCTTGGTTCCTAAATCTATGTACATTTCCTGAGAATAGAGAATTCTCTTACATAATCACCATATTGTTATCAATTTCAATATATTTAGCATTGATACTTTAATTTCTCATTTATATTTTAATTTTATTAATTGACCCAATATCATTTTTTTAGAATTTGTTTTTCTCCAGTATGGGATAAAGCATAAGACCAGATATGATATTGCATTTTATTATTTTTGTTTTTGTGTTTGTGTTTAGTTTCTTTAATTTGGAATATTGCCTTAGCCTTATTTGTCTTTCTTGACATTGACATTTTTGATAATACTTCCAACCCCTATTTTATTGATAAATAGAAACTTTCTTTTTATGGGTTTGTCTGACACATCCCCAGAATTAGACTTAGACTCTGTACTCCTGGCATGAATTCTATATAAATTACATTATTTTCTTTTCAGGATATTACATGTGCAAACACATGATATTCTCATGTTAATTTTGATTCAAAGAACTTATATGCATATATTCATTACCTATGGACACAGACAATAGGGAGGTGAAGGCTTGGGTCAGAGCAGGAACCTGGTAGAAGAGGGCAATAGAGGAAAAGAGGGGAACATCTGTAATATTGTACCTTCAATAATAAAGATTTTAAAAAATATATCAAATTTCTCTATAGTATTTTTTCCTTTGCAATTAATATGCAGTCTGTGAGGAGACAATGCAATCCTGCTCTCATCAAAATTTCCTCTTAAGTTCATTGACCACTTTTGCTAGAAATAATATTTAGTATGCATTTCCTTGTACCAGCTCCTGGCTAAGGTTCTGGTCCTGGAGCATGCAGCTGACTGTCAGTAGATTTCCACAGTTGATGGGCTTGTTAACAGGAATCAGATGGGTATAGATTTTGTCTGTTTCTTTGGTGGATTAGACTAGCTTCATTACCTTGTTTAGTTGAGTGGTGCTATGGCAAGGGTTTACTTCAGGGTCTACAGTTGGATTCTCAGTCAGTGGACCTGTTAGCCAATGGATGGCTCTCTAGTAGACAGGACTGGCCATTTACCATGGCTGAAAGGGACTGGAACCCAGCCCCAGATCTGTTTCTGGTTCCATAGCAAAATTGAGGCCTTTCGATCTGACCGTAGAGCCAAAGATGAGCATGTCTCCCCATCAGGTCCCTGCCTGTGCTGATTGTTCTCTGACCATGGCTGAAGGGGCTGGACCTGAGTAGAGGGCCCTGTTTGAATTTCGTTAGGTACAGTTGTGAGAGTCTCCCACTGGGTCCTTTTGGCAGCAGGATTGCTCATGGATCGTTGAGAAGGGCTGGAACTAAGTATATGGCCCTTTTATTATTATAATCACTATTTTAAATCATCCTTTAAAAATATTTTTTACATTGATTTCACAGAGGAAGGGAGGGGAGAGAGAGAGAGAGAGAGAGAGAGAGAGAGAGAGAGAGAGAGAGAGAGAGAGAGAAACATAAATGATGAGAAAGAATAATTGATTAGCTGCCTCCTGCATGCCCCATACTAGGGATTGAGCACATAATTCGGGCATGTGCCCT